GCTGCTCTGTCCGAGTGAATCACCTTGTCTGACTGTAACATCTCTTTAAGTTAGACAACTTTGTTTCTAAAGTGTGAAAAAGACAGCAAGATAGTGCTCTAAGTTATTCTTTATATTTTATCGCCCCAGTGTAGACTGGAATTGGACAGCTTTTAAAAAAAAAAAAAAAAAAAAAATCTAAAGTCACCTCGCAGCCAACCACTCAAATAATGTGACTCAATTGTACTGTATGTTTATTCTGTAAACTCTTGGAACTACTAAAATGGTCAAATCATTCATCCTTTTTGACTCATCATACTTTGCATATACAGATACTGGATATTATGTTCTTGTTTATGCTGTAGCCAGCTAGTTTTTATTTTGTTAGAGCATCATCTTACTTTGAGTTCCCTTTGTCCTGCCTGGGATCTGCTATCAAAGTTGACAACAAGCTGAAATCGCATTTTCTTGCTCTTCTACTCGCAAAAAATGTTCAAAAATGGTTAAAAAGTTTTTACTTCAGCCCAGGGCTGAGCTGTTGGTGTGTGAAAAGCTCCCCACTTCATCTTTTATCATCCAAGAAAATATTCAAATCTTTAGTTTGAGTGAAAGAATATATTTAAAATGCGTGCCCTGTAAGTCCTGCTCATGTATTAAAAAGTTTTTTAATAGCTATAGACATAAACTTCGCCAAGTAACTCTGCTCAGAGTCATTGTCATAAACAGTCCATCAGAATTCCTTTTGTTCCCTTCACTGACCCCAATGAGAAGTCTGTAAATGAACTACAGCTGAGAGAGGGATGTGACGAATGAATCATCACACAGCCATTTCTTGGGGCCAAACATTATTTAATGAGATCTCTCCTGAGACGCATAGAACTGAACCTCAATTAAACTTACACACCACAACACACTGACAGAACCAGAACACAGACACATTTAGGTCAGAGAAGGACGAGTGGTAGACATGACTAGAACGGCACTCAGTTGAGCGCACACCTAAGGTAAAAAAGCAATTATTATAATAGAAAAATATGTGGAAAAATAAGTAAAGGAAATGGTAATTGTACAAAATCAAAGATAGAAACAGCGTAAACTAGAAGGGGACTTCCGCACACCTCCACCAAGGCTAATGCCGTATGTTGCCATGTTAAAGAGAGGGAAATAAGAAAATCCTGGATTGGCCCATATCTGCTCATATCCTACCCATCCAAAAAATGTCATGGAAAAATTTGTTCCGCCAAACAAAGGATAATGATAAAACATCATTACCTCCTTGGCGGAGGAAACGGAGGTCAGTGTTAAGGCCTTAACGAAGGAGGACCGTGATAAGTCCAAAACCTGCTAAATTAAAGGTTCAAGTAGATTTGCACCAGCAAATTCTTCGGAGTGAATGATCAACATCATCACGTGATGGAGATCTTGTTCGCCTCACTCGACAAAAGAACAGGCAGTTTAGAATCTGCAGAGAGATCCACTCCCTCATTACTCTTGTTGAGCGTTAAGGACAGAAGATGTCGCACCTTGTTAAGCCCTATGGAAAAAATTGTCATTTGTGAATATGGGCTATACGAATAAATTTGATTGATAGATTGATGATTTAAGTGATAGAAACGAGCGTCAACATTGGCGTTACTGGACACAGCTATCAATAAGTAAACAAATGTTTGTTTAATGGTGAACTTGCGACTAGTAAGTAAGCTGCTGTTAAAGGTTCAGTGTGTAAGATTGAGGTGAAAGGGATCTATTGGCAGAAATTTAATGTAGAATAATCCTCATGATGTTTTCACAAGTTCATTTCATCTAAATTGTATGAATTGTAGTTTTCTTTACCCTAGAAAAGACCCTTTATATTTAAATACTTTATATTTACATTGAGGGGACCCTCTCTACGGAGGCCACCATGTTTTTTACATTAGTCCAGACTGAACAAACTAAACACTTTTTGAGTTTTTATGACAACTGAAGCTACCACAGGTTCTTTTTCATGTTTGGAAGGAGAGGGTGAGGTGAGGGGTGTTCAGCTGCAACATGTAATTTCAACACTAGATATCACTAAATTCTACACACTGTGCCTTTAATGCAAACACAGGCTAAGTTGTAAGAGCAAAGAAGTCAAACAGGTACTTCAAGTAAAATAAAGTGCATTTACAAACTGAATTCATACTATTGAGTGTCAGATAAGCATGTATAAGTAATTATCATGCCACTCTCAGACTCACTTTAAACTGCACAGAGATATTCTTTAAAGTTTAATGCGGACAGTCATCAGAGAGGTCCAGAGACAAGTCTTGTCCATTCAGCCCAGACTGAAGTGTCCTTGAATGCACCAGTGAGCAGTGGAGAGTAGATAACAGCTGCCAGCACTGATGGATGGCATGATGTCTGTCTGCCTGTCCTCCAGTTCTCTTGACTGTGAAGTTTTTTGGATGAATGGTTCTCAAGAGAATTGAAAACACAGACATCAAATAATCTAAATAAACTCTACACAACCATCCAACTGACAGGGTAATTGGAAATACAGTCAAAGGAAGATTCCTTTTTTATAGTTAGTTGTGATCGCTCATCTGATCAACTTCAAATTTGGCAGATTAATTGCTGAGGACACAGGGAAGTGCAGTGTTGATGTCGTTTTTTTGGATGAGCATTTCTTTTCTCGCAGTATCAAACATGTTATCTGACATGAAGATAAGGTTACGAGGTACGAGGGCAGTGAAGCATCAGGACATGCCAGGGTTTTAAAAGAAGGCGCACCTGAACTGCACAATGACACTTTCTACCCACGTCAGAATTGAGACTATTACTGCAGAGAGGGTAGGTAGCTACATTTCATGGCAGGCGTATTACTCAGGACTCAAGAAAGTGCAGTGTTATTTGGATGATACTCTCAAGAACTATACTGCAAGATGAATTACCTCAGGCCAAGCGATCAGCCCCTCAGGCAATGCACTGCCAGCTTTTGAAATGGGCCTCCCTGTCCTTTAGTTGGACGAATTGCTCTGCGGGAACTTTAAGTGACTGGTGGATAAGAGTGACGAAAAATAGAGAAATAGAGGGCAGTGAAGTATCCACTTCATGTTTACAATTACAGTTCGAGTTAAAAATGGTGCCAAATGAAAGTAAGTCTCTTCAGACTTTTTTATCGTTCAACCCAGGACTAGAATGCAGTAGATAAGATAAGCTTTATTTGTCACATACACACTTATACTTGTTCAATGTGCAGTGAAATGTGTTTTTGTACCTGCATCCAGTTTTAAAATAGAAAAATAAAGGACACTATAAAGCTCACAATAGTATTACAAAATTGCAAAATATTACAAAGGTAAAATATAAAAACACTACTACTGTGACTTACTGCATTTGAAAACCTAAAACCATAATCTGGTTCTCAAATAATTAACGTAGTCTTAATGACCACTCAAAGCAATTCATAGTACCATTTACCCATTCAGACAAACATTCATACAGTGAATCTGTGTGCTCACATCACTCGCACACAGCTGTCAGGGGCAGTTTGGCGTTCCACATCCACTCCTGGTAAGTGGACGACCCGCTCTACCTCCTGAGCCACAGCGCTCCACAGTTTGATTGATTACATGTTCACAGCATGTTAGAACCAGGCTACAATCACACAGGTAACACCTCGCATGCTCCTTAATCAAACTTGTTTAAATCAGGCCTGTCGCTGTCAACACACACATTTCACACTGCGTTATCTTGACATTGTTCATGTCTGATGCCAGATAAACCTGATGAGCATGTTGTCCTTGTCCCTGAACACCACAGCATGGTGGAGCTCATGCCATTGAGCAGTTGCCAATTGCACCCGAGTCTCATGGAAATCGGTTCAGTAGTTTTTAATTCACCCCACTAATTAACAAATAAACAAACGTTTCAATTAAAACTCTACAGAGTCTGTCAAGGCCCAACAGTCCTCATATGAAACCACATTTAAATTCAGTAGATCCAGATTGTTATCTTATTTGGCACCAAATTGCACACACATAAATATCAGTCCCCTAAATATGCCTGATTTTTTAATCAATATCTATGAATTATTTTCATAGAACTCAAAAGAAATTTTATAAACCTCACATAGTTGAAGTGGGAAAAAAAATCTGGATCCACCCCCTGATCTTGATCCACACCATAATTTAAAGGGTTCTTCCCTGACTCATACCACATCCTTTCAACTTTCATGGACATCTGTCCACTAGTGTTTGCATAATCCTGCTAACTAACAACCAGACAAACAAACAAGCGCCAATTACAACAAAACGTCTTGGTGGAGGTAATTATTTTGGACAGATTTCCTTTCAGCTGAGTTTTGCTTAATTAGATTCAACTTTATTTTATTCGTCATTTATGTTGAATTGTGTAAATGTCTAGAGGCAACATTACTTGTTGTGCAATGACAATAGACATATAAATATATATCTTAATTTTAATTAATTCACTCAAATGTTACCACTCAAACTTTGTCTTTATTTGACAGAAAATTCGTTTAATTGAGAGTTATATTCCAGTTAATCATGATGAGATTTTGGATTCAATAAGATTCACATTGTTGGATTTAATACATTAATAATAGTTTGCATTCATTTGTGGGCCTTTATGTGTTATCTAACCACAAGACAACCAAATCTTAAGCATAACCTTTATAACTACATTGTCTCTGTCTGCAGCTACTCCATCATGAATCGACACAATAATGATGTTTGAACTAGACTCCAGTAACACATTCCTCGTGATCTTAGTGGATGATTTAAGGGATGGATTATGATTTTTGTTGGAAAGAATAAACCCCTGAAAATATGAAAAACCCAGGGAAAACATTTTTTCTCCAAATGACTAATTACCCACATCTCCTGATCTAAACAGAATCAATCATGTCATCGAAGGCATTCAACAAGATGTCAAGCAAAAGCTGAAGGAGGTTAGAATCAGAGGCAGCTCATCACTTGTGCTGCAGACTGACAAGAGAGCAGGAAAAGCAGTGCTGAGAGGGAGGATAAATATTACCATTTTGAATGGCCTCATCTTTCCAGCGGGGGGAGCAATTTTCTGCTGGCTCTAAAATAGATGGGAGAGGCACTTTTAAAGAAAGCTACTTGCTCAGTGAAACAGGTGGCAGAGGCAGACTGAGGCTCCTCTGCCTTTCATATCAAATCAAATGCATTCAACAGCGAGTCTGATAAAATGTCAGTCCTAAAACAACAGCATCAAAAGGTTTTTCACAGTGTTCTTGTTGTTCTCATGGTATTACAGTGAGTTTGTATCCTCATGTGACGCATGTAAGCTTGTGTCTCTTGAGTATGCTCGAATCAATAGCATGTGTCGGGTCAGCGAGGTCCATGGAATCGGCTTAATCTACACGTGACGGCCAATTCACTTTGTGAACTATCTCTGTGGTGTAAACAGGGTCGCTAAAATAGTCTGTTACAACCTGTCTTAAAACATATGGGTCTCTTAAGGTCTTAACTGAAGCAAACTCTCCTTGTGTGTACTGCGCAGACTGTAATGCATGGGTAATGATGTAAGAGCAGGGTTTTTTGGTGCACAGTGGCTTATCATATTTCAAACTCTCAAATCAACAGAAAATTTGGCAAATACGAAATAAAGCCTTCCATTTGTGTTAAGTTGTGTTTGAATATAAGTGAGACTAGTCTTTCCTGCTGCCAGAGGCCAGTTTTCACCCTGACATTAAACGAGGTCCTCTGGTGGTGAAGACAGTTCATCGTCACCCAGTAAAACTACTGAACACAAGTGGCTTTCAGGGGCTATTATGATGGTATGTATTCTAAAGCATTCTACACATGATCGTCAGAATACATGTTGCAAGAGCAGAGCCCAGCATAATGTGGTGAAGATTCATGTCACCATAAATTGGCCAAAACATCATTAAGGCATAATTGATTATTACTGTCTGCCAGTAACAACTCTGGTCTGATTGTTGTTATTCTATAGAGTGGAGAGGCAGAGGGAGTTATTTTAGATGCCACTGGTTTCATAAGTGAACCATCATATGTTTAGTAAGAGGCTGCAGTGGACACAAAACT